CCTGTGATAGTTCCCTATTCATATATAATACGGCTGGCCACGTTATCACTAGTGACTTGAACATTGTCAATAACACTTTTCTGCCAAAAAAGTGTTATCCAAAGGCCCAAAATATCGTGAGCCTTAATCCATCAATTGAAAACATAACTTCAAAATATTGATGGATTCAGTCCAGGATTATGCCGGGCAATGGGCTGAACGCGAAAAAGAAGACGTAGCTACTCTTTCCGAATGGGTTAAGGCTGTGATGTCGTTGATACAAATTAGAATTAATAAAACTGAATGGGTCTATGAATACACATGCTACAATGATCTTTAAAGGCCCAAATATTGCTAAGAATCTGTCCTACCTCCATGACAAATATTTTATAGTAGATACAAGTGTGGACACAGATCAGTGTGGATAGTATGATTGGATGTTTGACAGTGTTTTATATGACAAAAGGAGTTCTATGTTTTATGTTTTCTATGTATTAACTGTGTTGCACAATGACAACCAACATGAGCATTAGGGGTGTTGTTTATGTAATATTTAGTTTTGTACGTTCAACACGGGCATGGAAGAGATACTAATTGCATTAATTACCAAATGATTATGATAGAATATATATGTTCCACATCTTTGATTTTGGATACATTTTGAAGCTAGGAGAGGAACACATAATAGGTTCATTTTTTTCTTAATGTGATTTTTTTATATGGGAGATGGTATCTGAGAACATGTATTTCCTTACTATTTGTATGGTTCTATTTATATTACTTTGTGGGGAATTGTCAGTATCATAAGTAAAAGATTTCGGTTAAATGTGGAAATTGTTTCTCAGTTTAGAAGACATTTGATGTTTTTTAGTAATGACAATGCCTGACATGATGATTGGGGTTAGATGAGCTAGAAAGTGAATTTCTGTGTTATTTTTTATTGATTCTTTGATATAGTAGATACTAAAACTTTCCAAAGATTTGTTAGAGTACATACAATCTCAGTCTCTTTCCTCTTGCAATAACCAGTATTAAAACATTTTACTTTTAAACCGTTTGCACAAGTATTCCCCATTCCAAACTAAAAGATAAATTGAAAGAATTGGCCCTGCTTTGTTATATATAAAAAAAATGGCCAACGTAGATACAAGTATCTTGTCTTTAGGGAGGGATAAATCGTACTTTGTAATAATCACTCTGATTCAAACAAAAAATTCTCTTAAACTGACATTATCAAGATGCTTGATTTCTTGATTGACATGGAAATGGGGAATGTAACATATTTGTTACGTTTGGAGGACATGTCTTTCAACAAACGATCGGCATTACCAACTGTGCTCCTCTTCTAGGCTAATAACTTCACACAGGAGCTTCTTAGGAAGAATGAAAGAAACAAGCATTATTCTTTAACTTCACGTTGCGCTATAAAGATGATGTCCTTCACTAAATAAGTCAAAGTTTGGTGACTATGTTGAACGCATCTATCCCATCGAACGTGAAATAAGGGATATTTAATCCAATTGTGGACTTTCCATTGTATCAACATTCCAGCAGCGCCTGCATATGGAGTATATATCTCCCAGTTGATCCGATAGTCCAAAGCTTGCATTTACTATCGTGATTTCCTTGAAAGGGGGTTGCTGCTTACAAGGAAGCTATTAAATCAAGTGGTGAAGTTGTTCAAAATCATCCCTTCGAAATTTAACGGACGCCATCACGAATTGGTTGACCGATATGGAATATCTGTTTCACAGATAACGACGGATATTTTCCAGTTGTCGTAACCACAAACACGTCCTCTTTTCCTCGAATGTGACCTACCGAATTAGATTAATTTAATCACCAGATTTGTACTAACATAAGCAACACGACGGTGCAACAGGTGCAGTAGGGTCTGCCTACTCTTCCAGAGCACCTGAAATCGCCCCCGGTTTTTGATGGGATTCGTGTTGCTCAGTCTATGGTTTACTATGTTGTGTTTCGTCTAATGTTGTTTATCTTTCGATCTTTTTTCGCTTTTTGTCATGGCATTGTCAGGTTTTTTTTCGACTAATGAGTTTGAATATATAAGATATATTTCAGTCCTGGTAAAATGTGTCCGGGCAGACACAAATTTTTAGTATAAAAGAAAACAACGCATTTGCCTATCCTGTAATAAGCAAGAAATGGAAGATGAATACCATTTCTTCTCAGTCTGTCCATGCTATATATCATTGAGGGATACCTACGAGGGTTGTCCGTAAAGTTCCTGGACAAGCTGAAGTCTGCGTAAAAATAGCATTTCAGGTAAATTCTTTTTGCAAAATTGTAATCCTTAACTATATCCTAGTTCGGTTATATATCAATATTTGTCCAATTTTAAATGCGAAATAATAACACTTCCTTCATATAAATATAAGCAATAGGGACCCGGGGCACGGCGAAAATATCACATAACATGCAGGCTGGTGTTTTCATATTTTTGTAATTTTTTGTTTGAAAATCCGCCAAAAAATACACGAAACTTACATTGTGACGACGACAATAGCTTTGACGTTACATGCACCTGCTTAATTTAAATGGTCAAATTTTCGAAATGGCGAAGAAATCTCGATTTGAAGCATTGAATCCAGAATCGGCATCACTGAAAAAAAGAAAATTTACAGAAATAGTGGAGCAGCGGGCAGTTATAAAGTTTTGTGTAGACATCGGAAAAACGCCAACAGAAACACACAATTTCTTAAAACAGTCTGAGAAACATAGCAAAGTTAGTCGTTCATTGGTATTCAAGTGGCACAAAAGGTTTGGGGACGGAAAAGACAATTTGGAAGACGATGAACGGGAAGGTATGCCATCTTTCAGGGAATCAGATACGATAAAAGATGAAGTTCTGAACGTTATCAACAGTGACCGGCGACTAACAGTTCGCAAAGTTGCAGACAAATGTGACATTTCTAAGACTACAGCGCACCACATTTTAGCAAATGATTTAAATATGAATCGAGTATGTGCTAGATGGGTACCGCGACTTCTTACAGCAGAACATTTTACAAAAAGAATGGAATTGTCAAATCAATTTATTAAAAAAAGTTTCTCGTGGTGGCATACGATTTCTAGACAGAATAATTACAACAGGTACTACGATCCGGAAGCTAAACAACAGTCAAGTCAGTGGAAAACTGTAACTCACCGCCACCAAAGAAGGCAAAGATAACCAAATCAATGGGAAAAAATATGTTCATTCTCTTCATGGACCGAAAAGGAATGTTACTGACACATGCTGTACCCCGTGGCCAGACTGTTAATTCTGAATGCTACTCCAAGGTATTTAACATAATATTTGCTTTTAAAAATAATGAATGATCTTATATTAATAATTAAAACCTAAATAAAATGAAATAAACAGTTTAAGAAGGTGTTTATCAAAGAATAAAAAATAAATTATCAATCTTATTTTAATTTAGATGCAATACGATTAAAAGTCCGTTTATTTTGTACTTTCAGGTACTGAGGCGAGATTTGGTTCAAACGCCCTTATTTAGCAGCCAACATAGAGCAAGTGATATTACACCAAGTCAATGCACCGGCCCACACTTCTCTAAAAACTCATCTAGAAATTGATCTACTTGGATTCGAATGTCTGAAACATCCACCGTAAAGCCCTGACTTAGCGCCAATGGATTTTGCGGTATTCCCGCATATCAAATCTTTTCTCCGTGGACAAAGGTTCAACGATTTACCTGAACTAAGACAGGAAGTAATGAACTTATCTTTAAAATGAAAACAGAACAGTTTGAGAAAATATTTGATGACTGGTTAAAAAGATGTAAAAAATGTGTTGCTTTGAAGGAGACTACGTTGAGAAAAGTTAAAATGTTGACGTCGTCGAACGTCGGAACGTCGGAAATATTTGTTTGGGTGCTCCGGGTGAGAGTTTCTTTAATATGATTTTTTAATTGATGAAAATACGATTATTTAAGCAGGTACCGAAATAAAATTTTGTACACTTAATCAGTAATTCATGAAATTAGTTATACACTTGTTTTATTTATTTCGGACGGGTAAATAATATCTTATTGAGATTGTCCTCAAGCTTTACGGACAACCCTCGTATATACAAAAAAGCAATACTTATTAAATTGCAATCAGCTATAACACTGAGGCATATGACCATACTTTTGAATAGCAGTTTGCCAGTCATCATAAAAATCACCACAGAATATATTAATGATTGTCTTTTATTGAGAAAAATCTGCATAATTTTTTTTTTTTTTTTTTTTTTTTATATGAATCCGTTTTTGTTCATGGACATTAATAATTGTTTATCTATCAATACACACATATTTGTAGTCTTCTTTTTCGTGAGAATACTACTATCACTCTAATTTAATTATTATCAGTTAATTATTTCTATACTGTATGCCATTACTAGATATTTAATGTAAATGTGTTTGTGCTGATAAATATTGTCTATTGTCTATTAAAAGTCCGTGGTTACAGAATTTACTAATATTTTAGTCCGATGTCGGTAATTAATGTCCGTACATAAACTAGGAAATTAGATTTTTTTACAACATGTTTCAAATCTTATATATTTTTATAATTAAGTCATTTTCAGAAGAGCTGTAACGTTATACATTGAATTTGTAAATTTCCTAGGAAAATACAATCCAGACATATTTTACTAGTTATGGACTTAATTTTCTTGGAAAATATATCCTGGGACTTAATTTTCTACTAAAATTATGGTCATGAACTTCATTACATAGGGAAAGTATCATTATGTGGGCTAATTTTTCTACCGGACAGAATTTAGGCTGCCTTTGGTATCTTTCGTCTCTTTTTCAAAGAAATAAAATTCCATAAAAAATCTACCTTATACCATTTATCCCCGTTTCAGGTTCAGACGAGATAAGCTGACGATAAACCTTGTTTCGATTTCTTTTATGTTTACCTTTATCATAAAAGTAAGACGAGATACGAGTTGATAGAAATGGGTACGACTTGGTTGGTTCCGAGACGGAAAAGGTACGAATTGTACATCGATTCATCAAACATTACTACGTCGGCAATATTGCAATGTTGGATTTTGCTATTTTTGCCGTCACATTTGTTGGAGGACTTATAGCAGTTGTAATTTATCTCTACCCCGTAAGATTTAAATTTATTTGATAGCGAAAGTGTTAAAATTAGGGTCAAGTTATCTATCCAAATGCGTACTGAAATGACTAACACATTCTACTTTCAATTTGACAGGTTGGGACCATTTATCTATATATGGGATATGATACTCGTTTGTGGAGTAATGTCCCAAAAGAGTGTGCAATTTACAGTGCAAAATAAAATTAATTATTGAGAAAAGATAGAAAAGTGACAAAATGCTAAACAAAAGTGCTGATATTGTGATAATGGACTTAGCAATTTAAAGGCCTTTGATATATTAGGTAAACCATAGTCCATATAATTATGAGGTCTTGAAAAGCTGTTTTAATTATGACCCTGCCATAGCGGAGGGGCATTAAGTTTTACCCTTGTCCTTCTGTACGTCCGTCTGTAACAGTGGTTTGATTCTACCAGTGTACTTTATCCGGAGGAAGAAAATCCCCAGTGATTTTTATCCACCAACAAAAAATCACTAGGGTTTTCTATCCGGGTCCAGTGTAAAACATCCACCAGTCATTATAAGGTTCTAAAAAGATTTTTTTGAAGGGGAAATATATATAAAATGTGGCTTAATAATTTTTTTAGTGTATTTGAAAATTGCATAGTTGATTTATGTAAAAAGTGGAGAGTTTTCATCCAAGGAATGTTCACACTAGTGTTTTTGAACCAGGAATGATTACACTAGTTATTTTGTACAAGAATGATTGCACTAGTTATTTTATACCTGGCGGGATTAATTACACTAGTGCTTTAGATCCATTTAAGTGATTAGTACTCATTTTGAACACACGATAACACAATAATGCTTATTAACAAATGAGATTTAAATAATTTTTCTATGCAAATCTATAAAATCAGATGCTTTTAAATTGTCACTAATTGTAATATTCATATTTATTGGATTGCCAAAGTTTTTCCATGTATTTAATTTTCGGTCGACTTGGATATTAAATCATATCTTCTATGTCAAGATCAAAGGATGCTTCTGTAATTGAAACTTTTTGTAAGAACAAATCTGCTCTTTAAATTGGTGTGTATCAAGTTCAATGTCCTGATCATTGATAAAGTATTTTGAGTTATAAAAATATCCTCCTCATCATCATCAATATTATTTACTAGATTGACTGAGATTAATTAAACTGGTTCCTTGAAAATCATTTTAATTTTAACCCATTTATTTATGTAAACAATAAACCGGTCTAATATAAACAAAACAACGATATCAAGATCGACACTTTCACACTATTTACATCCAATATTCTCTTAGTGAAAAACAGTTATCCGGAATAAATACACGGCGGAATGAAATTACACTTACACGTCCGTACGTCCCAAAATTGGTTTCCGTTCTCTAACTTTAGTTTGCCTCAACCAAATGTTATGAAACTTATACACAATGATTATTACCACAAAACTCATATCAAGTTTGAATTTTGGTGGTGTCACTTTTACCGTCCTAGAGTTATGCCCCTTTACAAATAGAAAAATTGCTGAATTTTTCATGTCCGTTCAAGTTTGCCTCAACCAAATTTTATGAAATTTATACGCAATGCTTATTACCACAAAACTCAGATCAAGTACAAATTTGGGTAGCGTTTCTTTTACTGTTCTTGAGTTATGTCCCTTTATAACATTATATGCAAGCAGGGGAATCATCCATCTGTGTCCCATGGACACATTCTCCATTTTTTTCTTTCTGTGACGTCTTTCTACGACGTCATAGGAAGGCGTTGAAGAAAAAAAAATAAAAAAGCCTCTCAAGACTTCATAAATATTTGGACTAGGTAAACCATAGCTTATTTGTGAACAAATTACAAGCTTATGGCATTAGAGGCAACATAAATACGTGGATAAAGAACTGGCTGAGTGAAAGAACACAAACTGTCGTATTAGAAGGATGCAATTTAACATCAGTCCCTGTAGATTCAGGAGTACCCCAGGGCTTAGTCCTTGGGCATCTTGTGAATTAGATCAATGACTTGCAAGAAGACGTAAATGCTACAGTTCCCTCGTCTGTTTGGCAAACATCCTGAAATGGGATCAACCCATACAGCAGATAATGGACAAAGCAATATAACACTTGGACTTTTGCAGAGAAAAATCAGAATTTCATCAACAAAAGTGAAGAACCAAACTTATATTGGACTAGTTAAATCACAGCTAGAATACACCTCAACAGCTACAAAATAGAACAGATACAAAGAATCACCAAAATAATGATGATAAAATTAACCTTCCTGTTTGTAAAAATCCAAGAATCAACCTTACCCCCAAAAAATTGATTTATTGATTCCTTAACTTCCTACTATCACAGGAAAACAACTATGCAAATGACATTTATTATATTACTCTCCATTTACTCTTCACTTTCATGACCACTCATTTCTTCCACTCTTGCTCCCTGATCATGCTGATCAAAACCTTGTAAAGCATCATTAATATTTGTTCATCGGCATATTGCAATTGACCATAATACCAGAAGGGTGCTGACATGATATTTTCCAGCTTGTGACAAAATGATCTGATCTGCATTACGGTTTACCAACCCAATAGGTTTAAGAAACATATATTTGCTTTTTTTCGCCTAAAATGTGAAAATATTATATATTGATAAACTAAAAAAAATGAATTTATCAAGAATTACTATTTCAATATACAGGAATTTAAATTTAGTAGCATTCGTTCTGAAAATTTAAAGCAATTTTGACCTCAATGAATAAAACAAAGTTTTTGCATGGATTTTGTTTTAAATTTTTCCCAAAACACTCCGATGCAATTTAGTTCTCTTATCATTTTCTTTGCAACATCTGAGAACCTAGAAATTTAAATTTATACTGAAGTGTTTAGCATGAAAATATTAAGTTAAAATTAACCAACTGTATAGTGTACATTAAGGCAAACACCAATCTTCTGGACCCAGGTTTGAAAGCACAGTTCATTTTATAGTAAAAAACATTCAAAAAAGGTTAGCCAAAAATTTAGAAAGCCACATATCTGCTATTATTTTTTTTTATTTCAGGTAAACAAGACAATTATTATAAAAGTTGTATTCATGAATGTTTATTTTGTATATATTATTTTTAAAGGAGCTTCCAAAAACTACTTGGAATAAAACATTTTTAAAGAAATTTGTATGTAATGTAATAAATAGTTTACTTGTATGAATATGCTTCCTTTTGAGATCAAGTAAGATTGTCTGGTTTATGATAAGGAGGTTTCTTTGATTTCAACTTTAAAATAACACTATTCAGTCAAAACTGGTGTGATAAATCAATATCCTTTTGTGTTTTATTTTCAGCTATAAATCTGGAAATTTGCTCTTATTTCAGGGATCATCCAAGCCAAGTTCAATCCCTGGTCCAGATCCCACTACTAAAGAGTAAGTATAAATATTTAGAAAGTATCTGCAATCCTGGATATTGTACATGCAAACAACTTTATGATAATATATAAAAAAAATACTAAATGTTGCAACATAGAAAGGAAAAGTACTTAAACTGATAAATCTTGATATCATGACATCCTACATTTTAGTTACTTAAATTTCTATAGACTGTTTGTATATTTTATATAAATTTATTGAATATTATTGTTTGCATCTTAAGAGATGGTAATTTAGCAGACATTAAGAGGGCTGGGAGTCTTCATGAATTTCTATTGGATATTCACAAGCAGTATGGGCCTATTGCATCATTTTGGATGGGACAGCAGTTTGTGGCAAGTGTTGCCTCAGCTGATCTATTTAAAGAACACCAGAACGTATTTGACAGACCTCGTAAGTTAATTTACTCTAACTGATTAATAAGTTTCTGTAGACAATACTATATTTGACAGACCTCGTAAGTCAAGCGACTCTTACTGATTAATAAGTTACTGTAGACAAAACTGTATTTGACAGACCTCATAAGTCAAGCGACTCTTACTGATTAATAAGTTTCTGTAGACAATACTATTTTTGACAGACCTCGTAAGTCAAGCGACTCTTACTGATTAATAAGTTACTGTAGACAATACTGTATTTGACAGATATCGTAAGTCAAGCAACTCTTACTGATTAATAAGTTACTGTAGACAATACTGTATTTGACAGACCTCATAAGTCAAGCGACTCTTACTGATTAATAAGTTACTGTAGACAATACTGTATTTGACAGATATCGTAAGTCAAGCCACTCTTACTGATTAATAAGTTACTGTAGACAATACTGTATTTGACAGACCTCGTAAGTCAAGCGACTCTTACTGATTAATAAGTTACTGTAGACAATACTGTATTTGACAGATATCGTAAGTCAAGCAACTCTTACTGATTAATAAGTTACTGTAGACAATACTGTATTTGACAGTCCTCACAATGCTGTATTTGACAGACCTCGTTAGTCTAGCCACTCTTACTGATTAAGAAGTTACTGTAGACATTACTGTATTTGACAGACCTCGTAAGTCAAGCCACTCTTACTGATTAATAAGTTACTGTAGACAATACTGTATTTGACAGACCTCGTAAGTCAAGCCACTCTTACTGATTAATAAGTTACTGTAGACAATACTGTATTTGACAGACCTCGTAAGTCAAGCGACTCTTACTGATTTATAAGTTACTGTAAACAATACTGTATTTGACAGTCCTCACAATGCTGTATTTGACAGACCTGGTAAGTCAAGCCACTCTTACTGATTAATAAGTTACTGTGGACAATACTGTATTTGACAGACCTCGTAAGTCAAACCACTCTTACTGATTAATAAGTTACTGTAGACAATACTGTATTTGACAGACCTCGTAAGTCAAGCCACTCTTACTGATTAATAAGTTACTTCAGACAATACTGTATTTGACAGACCTCGTAAGTCAAGCCACTCTTACTGATTAATAAGTAACATCAGACAATACTGTATTTGACAGACCTCGTAAGTCAAGCCACTCTTACTGATTAATAAGTTACTTCAAACAATACTGTATTTGACAGACCTCGTAAGTCAAGCCACTCTTACTGATTAATAAGTTACTGTCGACAATACTGTATTTGACAGACCTCGTAAGTCAAGCCACTCTTACTGATTAATAAGTTACTTCAGACAATACTGTATTTGACAGACCTCGTAAGTCCAGCCACTCTTACTGATTAATAAGTTACTGTAGACAATACTGTATTTGACAGACCTCGTAAGTCAAGCCACTCTTACTGATTAATGAGTTACTGTAGACAATACTGTATTTGACAGACTATGTAAGTCAAGCCACTCTTACTGATTAATAAGTTACTGAAGACAATACTGTATTTGACAGACCTCGTAAGTCAAGCCACTCTTACTGATTAATAAGTTACTGTAGACAATACTGTATTTGACAAACCTTGTAAGTCAAGCCACTCTTACTGATTAATAAGTTACTGTAGACAATACTTAAATCTTTTAAGTGGTATTTTGTGTCAGAGGTTAAAAATCTAGTTGAACAATGTTAGCAGAAGTGAAAAAACATCAAACATGATTTATCGTCCATTGTAATAGTTTCATTGTAAATGTAATTGTAATCTGTATAGGTATAATTTTTACAGTACCAAGAACTTGCCTTTTTTCAGACAATCAAATGAAACTTTTAAATGATATTTTATAGCTGAGTTATTCAAGCTGTTTGAAATTCTGATTGGACCAAAAAGTATTCAGTATGCAAATAAGCAAGATGGTAGGACAAGGAGAAAGAATTATGACGAGGCATTGACTCATGATGCTATTAAAAAGTACTATGAAACATTTCAAATTGTAAGTAAAGTATTTAGTGGCATGTAAACATTACCATTTTCATTTCATCCAAGTACATGTAATATAAGCTTGGTATTTTTGATAGAGGTGCATGTTATTTTGACATCAGTGTGTTACTGCAATAAATAATATAGTCTTCAGGGATACCAAGTTCCCAGTAGTGTAAACTTTATTTACATTTTGACCTATTCCTCCATCCAATCATAGATGTTTAACTGATAAATAATTCTGTTGTATGAGTTGATAAGATACTTCTTTTTGTTAATAGATAGCCAATGACCTATCCAAGAAATTCTCATCACTTGTGAAGGAAGAACACATAGCGCTCAGTCAGTACATGAGTGCATATGCACTTAAAGTTGCGTTGTTGACTTTAATGGGTGACACCTTCAAGGATGACAAAGAAGTTTTAGAATTCAGGAGATTGTATGATATTGTAAGTATAGAAAAAATGAATTGAATAAAATTGTCCTTAACCATCTTCAATCCTCAGATTTATACAGTCTCACATCTTGAAAGATAACAGTTTTCTTTCTTATAAAGAAATATGCTGGTACTGTATTGATTGTGGGGATTGTGGCCTCATCCTTTTCTGAAAAAAGGGCCCAGTTAGGGGCTTATTAATGAAGTTATCACTAGTTTAGACAAGCACACTTATTTTTCTAAAGATTTTGATGTAGATTTATTGCTCAAATGTTGTCAAATAAGAGGCAAATAGTAATAGTTCATTTTCACATATAAAAAAAACATACTCAACCAATGCATATTTTTTTCAATGTTGGAAAATTAATTCCCCCCTTAAACATTAATACCTATGGTCAACATCAAAACTGGATACTAAACTGGATACCAAACAATTTGTATGATTTTTTTATTCAGCCATGCTGGATATATGTGATCACTCTGGATTAGGAGATGGTGCAAAATTCTAAGTTGAAGACATGTCATGAAAATAATTATGTGTTTCTATGACTTACAGAAACTTTATACACCAATTTAATCATCAACTGCCAAATTTTAATATATTATTTGTCCTTAAATTAAGAAAAGGTTGGGCGAACAACTTCTTTATATTAGATTTACACTTGCATATAGTTCCTTTGTAAATCAAAATTTATATTAAATTGCCATTTATTAATTTAATGTGGAAAATGTGATTTATCAAATTTATGCAGTTGATAAGAATAATGAAAGTGTTTTATCAGTATTTTATGTTCCTGTAAGCCATTGAATAAAACTTGATTCAAGATGTGTATTGATATCAGAGTTGATTCCCACACTTATTTTGAAATGCTATTATTCCCATTCTTGCATTAGGCAAATGAAATTATTGATACAATACCAGTATGATGGACAGCTGCCCTGATTTTCAAACAATTACACTCAATGGTGTAAGTATTAATTGGATTAAACTCCTCTCAAATGCAGTCTTAATTGACCACAGTTATATTAATATATCATGACAGTTGATAATCATACTGGTATTGAGGTCAAGAATTTGTGTATTCAATTTATTACACATCTAACTGAATACACAAAATCTTGACCTCAATATAGTTGTAAAATCAGTGTCATAATCATCTGACATAAGTTAATAATGAAGGTCTATTTAAGTTACAATTATCAGTAATTTGGTTGAATCAATAAACACAATTGCATAACTCTTACCTGAGCATTTTCTGCAATTTATTTGTTTATTCCCCATTATATTGCTACTCAACAGTAATTGGAATTATCTCAGCATTAGGTATTTGTACATGTTTATTTGAATACAGGAAATGTATTTTTTTCCTTAATGAAGAATGAACACCAATTTAGATAAAAGTTAGTTACTATGCCCCACCGTAGCGGTGGGGGCATTAAGTTTTACCCTTGTCCGTCTGTACGTACGTCCCAAAATTGGTTTCCGTTCTCTAACTTGAGTTTGTCTCTACCAAATGTTATGAAACTTATACATAATGCTTATTACCACAAAACACAGATCAAGTTTGAATTTTGGTGGCGTCACTTTAACCGTTCTAGAGTTATGCCCCTTTATAAATGGAAAAATTGCAAAATGTTTAGTTTCCATTCTCAAACTTAAGTTTGCCTCAACCAAATGTTATGAAACTTATACACAATGCTTATTACTGCAAAACACAGATCAAGTTTGAATTTTGGTGGCGTCACTTTAATCGTTCTAGAGTTATGCTCCTTTATAAATGGAAAAATTGCAAAATTTTTATTTTCTTCTAAATATCAAGTAATTTTTGTCGAGCCTGCGACTTTTGTCGCAGAAAGCTCGACATAGGGATAGTGATCCGGCGGCGGCGGCGGCGTTAGCTCACTTCTTAAAAGCTTTATATTTTAGAGGGTGGAAGACCTGGATGCTTCATACTTTGTATATGGATGCCTCATGTTACGAAGTTCCGTCAGTCACATGTCCAATGTCCTTGACCTCATTTTCATGGTTCAGTGACTACTTGAAAAAAAAGTTTAAGATTTTTTGTAATGTTAAATTCTCTCTTATTATAAGTAATAGGATAACTATATTTGGTATGTGCGTACCTTGCAAGGTCCTCATGCCCGTCAGACAGTTTTCACTTGACCTCGACTTCATTTCATGGATCAGTGAACAAGGTTAAGTTTTGGTGGTCAAGTCCATATCTCAGATACTATAAGCAATAGGTCTAGTATATTCGGTGTATGGAAGGACTGTAAGGTGTACATGTCCAACTGGCAGGTGTCATCTGACCTTGACCTCATTTTCATGGTTCAGTGGTTATAGTTAAGTTTTTGTGTTTTGGTCTGTTTTTCTTATACTGTATGCAATAGGTCTACTATATTTGGTGTATGGAATGATTGTAAGGTGTACATGTCTAGCTGGCAGGTGTCATCTGACCTTGACCTCATTTTCATGGTTCAGTGGTTATAGTTGAGTTTTTGTGTTTTGGTCTGTTTTTCTTATACTGTATGCAATAGGTCTACAATATTTGGTGTATGGAATGATTGTAAGGTGTACATGTCTAGCTGGCAGGTGTCATCTGACCTTGACCTCATTTTCATGGTTCAGTGGTTATAGTTAAATTTTTGTGTTTTGGTCTGTTTTTCTTATACTGTATGCAATAGGTCTACAATATTTGGTGTATGGAATGATTGTAAGGTGTACATGTCTAGCTGGCAGGTGTCATCTGACCTTGACCTCATTTTCATGGTTCAGTGGTCAAAGTTAAGTTTTTGAGTTTTGGTCTTTTTTTCTAATACTGCAAGCAATAGGTCTACTATATTTGGTGTATGGAATGATTGTAAGGTGTACATGTCTAGCTGGCAGGTGTCATCTGACCTTGACCTCATTTTCATGGTTCAGTGGTCAAAGTTAAGTTTTTGAGATTTGATCTTTTTTTCTAATACTATATGCAATAGTTCAACTACATTTGGTGTATGGAAATATTTTATGATCTATATGTCAGTCACGCAGGTTTTATTTGACCTTGACCTCATTTTCAAGGTTCATTGCTCAGTGTTAAGTTTTTGTGTTTTGGTCTGTTTTTCTTAAACTATAAGCAATAGGTCAACCATATTTGTTGTATGGAAGAATTGTTAGCTGTACATGCCTGCCTAGCATGGTTCATCTGACCTTGACCTCATTTTCATGGTTCATTGGTCAATGTTTAGTTTACTTGGTTAATGTTAAGTTTATGTGACAGTTGTAATAAAGCTGTATATTTAGGACTATCAACATAATATCAATGATTAGTAAAGAAGGCGAGACATTTCAGCGTGTGCACTCTTGTTAAAATTGGAGTTATCTTCCTTTGTCCAAGATTATAGTTGAATCAACTACAATCAATGCTTTATACAATGCAATGTTTAATTTTGACTTCCACTGATAAAACACAGATCAAGTTGAATTTGGGTAGTGTCACTTTAACCATTATTGAGTTATGCCCTTTATAAATCGAAAGATTGCAAAATTTTTAGTTTCCATTCTGTAACTTAAGTTTGCCCCAACCAAACATTATGAAACCTATACACAATATTCATTACCACAAAACTAAGATCAAGTAAAAATTTTTTGTTTCCGTTTTCCAACTTTAGTTTGCCTCAACCAAATGTTATGAAACTTATACACAATGCTTATTTCAACATAATACAGATTAAGTACGAAATTTGGTGGCGACACCTTTACCATTCTTGAGTTATGTCCCTTTATAAACATAAAAATTGCTGAATTTTTCGTTTCCGTTCTCTTACTTTAGTTTGTCTCAACCAAATGTTATAAAACTTATACACAACCGTTCTAGAGTTATGCCTGTTTACAAATAGATAAATTGCTGAATTTTTAGTTTCTGTTCTCTTCTTAAGTTAGCCTCAACCAAATGTTATGAGACTTACACACAATGCTTATTACGACAAAACTCAGATCAAGTTCAAATTTGGGTAGCGTCATTTTTACCGTTCTTCAGTTATGTCCCTTTATAACTATATGATATGCAAGCGGGGGAATCATCTGTGTCCACATGTGGACACTCTCCACATTTATTTATTTTTGTTGTTATTGAGAAAGTGCATTTTTTATGCCTCTTTCTGGAAATTATTAAGCCAATTATTATTAATGGCATATAAAAAATATGCTACACATTTGAAGATTTCCCATATCATTCTTGTCAAAATCATTGAAATTCAAATGTTTCTAAAAAAAAAGATGTAAAAAAATCTGAGTCTTCAATTGAAATACCAAAATAATTTGCATCAATATTGCAAAATTCTCAAGCTTTTGGCAATAGAATAGAAATTTTACAGTGAGATTATGGAAATGAAGATAACAAAATAATTATTGAAAGTATGGTCAGAAAAATATCAGACTAGCTACAAAATTGGTTGAATCACAACATCCATGATGCTTTTATTAAAATTTTTGCGGTTGTACAATGGTACCATATGGCAAAGTTGTTGTCCCAAGACATTTGGTTTCAAGACAATAAATTGAGTATAGGTGTATGGATCTCTATGAAATGTACCACAAGGTTCCATACCTAAAGAAGAAGGTTTGGATTGATTTTATGGGTTATGGCCTAAACCGTTCGGGAATTAGGGGCCAAAAAGGGGCCTAAAACAATACTTTTCTAATATTTGGTATAAATTGCTTATTTTTTGTCAATGACCACTTTCAATGGGAATGAATTCAAAGTCTTGAATTATTGGGTTTTTTTAATGTGCTGAATCTAACCATGTATTTAGATTCTGGATTTTGGGTCTCGTTTTTAAAATGGTCCACATTGAGGTCCAAAGAATCAAGAACTATTCTTTATTTGATTTTAACAAAAATTCTTGGGGTTCTTTGATATGCTGAATCTAAACATGTATATAGATTTTTGATTGTGGGCCTTAAGTTTTCAAGTTGGTCCAAATGTGGGTCCAAAATTAACTTTTTTGTTTGATTTCATCAAAAATTGAATATTTGTTCTTTGATATGCTGAAAATAACCATGGATTTTGATTTTGAATATTGGACCATAATAGGTAAATGTCCAGTTTCAATTTTTTTATACGACCACAAAAAAATTTTGTGGTCGTATATTGGTATGACATTGGCATCGTCGTCGTCGTCGTCCGAAGACACATTGGTTTTCGCACTCTAACTTTAGTTTAAGTGAATGGATTTCTATGAAATTTTACCATAAGGTTCAATACCACAAAAGGAAGGTGTGGATTGATTTTGGGGGTTATGGTACAAACAGTTAAGGAATTAGGGGCCAAAAATGAGCATTTTTGTAACTTCCAGACATAACTTAGTGTTAGTGTATGGATCTCTCTGACATTGTACCACAAGTTTCCATATCACAAAGGGAATGCTGGGATTGATTTTGGGGATAATTGCCTCAAAATTTTAGGAATAAGGGGCCAAAAAGGGGCAAAAAACAAGCATTTTTCTAGTTTCATGACAATAACTTGTGTATTAGTGTATGGATCTTTATGAAATTGTACTACAAGGTTCCATATCACAAAGGGAAAGCTGGATTTGAGTTTGGGGGTAATTTCCCAAAACGTTTAGGAATAAGGGGCCAAAAATAAGCATTTTTCTAGTTTCCAGACAATAACTTGTGTTCAAGTGTATGGATCTTTCTGAAATTGTACTGCAAGGTACCATACCACAAAGGGAATGCTGGGATTGATTTTGGGGGTAATTGCCTCCAAATTTAAGGAATTAGGGGCCAAAAAGGGGCAAAAAACAAGCATTTTTCTAGTTTCATGACAATTACTTGTGTGTAAGTGTATGGATCTTTATGAAATTGTACTACAAGGTTCCATATCACAAAGGGAAAGCTGGATTTGAGTTTGGGGGTAATTCCCTCAAAATTTTAGGAATTAGGGGCCATAAAGGGGCAAAAAAACAAGCATTTTTCTAGTTTCAGGACAATAACTTGTGTGTAAGTGTATGGATCTTTATGAAATTGTACTACAAGGTTCCATATCACAAAGGGCAAGCTGGATTTGAGTTTGGGGGTAATTCCCTCAAAATTTTAGGAATTAGGGGCCATTAAGGGGCAAAAAAACAAGCATTTTTCTAGTTTCATGGCAATAACTTGTGTGTAAGTGTATGGATCTTGATGAAATTGTACTGCAAGGTTCCATATCACAAATGGAAAGCTGGGTTTGAGTTTGGGGGTAATTGCCCTAAACGTTTAGGAATAAGGGGCCAAAAATAAGCATTTTTCTAGTTTCCAGACAATAACTTGTGTTCAAGTGTATGGATCTTTCTGAAATTGTACTGCAAGGTACCATACCACAAAGGGAATGCTGGGATTGATTTTGGGGGTAATTGCCTCCAAATTTAAGGAATTAGGGGCCAAAAAGGGGCAAAAAACAAGCATTTTTCTAGTTTCATGACAATAACTTGTGTGTAAGTGTATGGATCTTTATGAAATTGTACTACAAGGTTCCATATCACAAAGGGAAAGCTGGATTTGAGTTTGGGGGTAATTCCCTCAAAATTTTAGGAATTAGGGGCCATAAAGGGGCAAAAAAACAAGCATTTTTCTAGTTTCAGGACAATAACTTGTGTGTAAGTGTATGGATCTTTATGAAATTGTACTACAAGGTTCCATATCACAAAGGGCAAGCTGGATTTGAGTTTGGGGGTAATTCCCTCAAAATTTTAGGAATTAGGGGCCATTAAGGGGCAAAAAAACAAGCATTTTTCTAGTTTCATGACAATAACTTGTGTGTAAGTGTATGGATCTTGATGAAATTGTACTGCAAGGTTCCATATCACAAATGGAAAGCTGGGTTTGAGTTTGGGGGTAATTGCCCTAAACGTTTAGGAATTTGGGGCCAAAAAGGGGCCAAAAATCAAGCATTTTTCTAGTTTCCAGACAATAACTTGTGTTCAAGTGTATGGATCTCTCTGAAATTGTACTGCAAGGTACCATACCACAAAGGGAAGGCTGGGATTGAGTTTGGGGTGGTGAATCATAAGGGGGTTCAAAAAATTTGGGGGGGGATTTTTTTTTCCCTTTTTTTTCTTTAAAATTTTCCATTTCAAGTTGGTTATTTCTGATTTATATATAAAGGCAAATAATAATGATATGGTTTGAATAAGTAAATTAAAAAAATTTAAGTTCTTAGACCACATTCATTCTGAGTCAGAAACCTATGCTGTGTCAAATATTTAATCACAATCCAAATTCAGTTCTGTATCAATCTTGAATGTTGTGTCCATACTTGCCCCAACTGTTCAGGGTTGGACCTCTGCGGTCGTATCAAGCTGCGCCCCAGTGGAGCATTTTATTTAAGTTCATAGACCAATTTCATTCTGTGTCAGAAACATATGCTGTGTCAAATATTTAATCACAATACAAATTCAGAGCTATATCAAGCTTGAATGTTGTGTCCATACTTGGCCCAACTGTTCAGGGTTCAACATCTGCAGTTGTATCAAGCTGTGCCTTGCAGAACATTTTATTAACATTTGGGAGGTGTCAAATTAACTGACTGGTTCTCAAACACCACCTTGTCAGCCAAAAACTACTGCCAGCTTGTATTTATTGCTTAACCAAAAAAAATAGAATGTGTAAAAAATATGCATTGTTCAAATTTAACCGCTTTCAAACTATTCAAAGAGCGATAACTCTAAAGCATTAAGGGAAAACTTGGGTTTCTACCTTTGTTTGTAGGAAGTTAAGACTTCTGGTAAAGTCCAAAGGTTGCCAAATGGCAATGGTATATTAAAGTGGAGATGCTTCTATCCTTTGATTATTGTTAAACTTACAATTGACACATCTGTAAATGATCGACACAGTGGAATTGCTCACAGGGATTCCCTGAGCAAAATTCCAGATACACTTTGAGATAAAACGCTGGAAACAAAGTATGTGAGCTTGTGTGTACGACCTAACATCAGACGTTTACACGACCTTTAATTAAATAAAGCAAAAGCAACAACTTTTTGGTAGATATTATACTATATCAAAATTATTAGAAAGTTACGTGTTTTGACAACTGTCAAGGTACAGATCCAGGTAGATAATACTATATCAAAATTATTAGAAGGTTACGTGGTCTGACAACTGTCAAGGTACAGATCCCCAAAATAGGCCTGAAGAAATCATGAAGATCCATTATGTTGCTTAATGAATTCTTATTTTAAAATAGTCAACAGACAAAAATATGCATTTCCAAAAGTCCTATTTTGATGCTGATATTTTCTTAAAACTCTTTAAGGAATTCACTACTTATTTTGTAAGTCTAAATTATGGTCTCTTTTATATTTTGTGAGTTATAAGGGTGAAAATATAAAAAAGTTGGACTTTTACATTATATGCACATAACTGCATCTGAATTTTGATTTTGTTTGGCAGTTACAAGTAACACTATGTTGAATCCTTTTAAATGAAGGTCTTGTTCAATTTCAGGCTTGGTTTGAAACAGAAAAACAATTAACAGATGTACCAGAACCTGACAGTCAACGCATGAAAACTTTTAAGGATGGTAAAAAAGTTACTAAAGATATTTCATAATGTTAATGACACATAGAAATGTTTGTAATATCATATGATTATCAATTGATTAAAACAGGTAACTGTAAAGACTAAAAGTAACAAAATGGTCCCTGCAGTTAATTTAGTTTAGACATATTTCATATATCTGAAATTATTGTCAAATTTCATATACCGGTCATTTGTATTCATTTTTTTTTTGTGGATTGAGGGAAACATTGATTTTCGTTGATATTAGATTTGACGGTTTTGCAAAAGTCTTATAGAAAATTAATAAAGTTGAAAATTTAAATTTGCAACAAAAATTTGTACACTGCAAATAATTATGAATCTACTGTAATTCCTTTATTTTTCCAAATATAATTTTTAAAAACTGTTTTCTAAATTGATTAGCATTTCATCTTCAAGTGCTGTCATTATACGCATGGGATCGTATAATGGTATGATGTCGTCTGCGTCATCGTCCGAAGACACATTGGTTTCCTGACAATAACTTTAGTTTAAGTGAATGGATCTCTATCTCAATACCACAAAGGAAGGTTGGGATTGATTTTGGGGATGATGGTCCCAACCATTTAGGAATGAGGGGCCCAAAAGGGGCCCAAAACAAGCATTTTTCTAGTTTCAGGATAATAACTTGTGTATAAGTATTTTGATTACTCTGAAATTGTACCACAATGTTTAATACCACAAGTAGAAGGTTGGGATTCATCTTAGGGGTTATGGGGCCAACAGTTTAGGAATTAAGGGCCAAAAAGGGGCCAAAAACAAGCATTTTTCTAGTTTCCAGACAATAAATTGTGTGTAAGTGTATGGATCTCTCTGAAATTGTACTACAAACTGTTACTAGATGGCACTAAACTATATTCAAATACTGTTTTAATCTGCTAAGGGTGAAGCAGAGTGGGTTGGATTGTAACCCTTGGCTAGTGAAGATGTTACCATTTATGTATTTCAGTTTCTTAATAAGGGCTGCAAACACAATCAATCACACATACTAAAAGATGAAGTTGATCCGTATTTCATGGTTATGTGGCTTTGATATAGTTTTTGTTTTGTTGTCACGAAAATGGCAGAATACATGACATAGGGATAACAATCTGGCAGCAGCATAAACTATTTGTATAAAAGTTTATATTTCAGAGGGTAGATGACCTGGATGCATCAGACCTTGATGTATTATGTTGTGAAGTTTCCAACTGAAATATGTTAATTGTCCTTGACCTCATTTTCATGGTTCAGCGACTTCTTTGAAAAAAAATAGTTTTTTTTTGTCATGTATATTTCACACTCATTATGAGTAATAGGATAATATTTGGTATGTGGTTTCCTTGCAAGGTCTTTTTGTCTGTCAGACAGGATTCACCTGACCTCAGATAATGTTTATGTGATACTTGTGTATAAGTATTTTGATTGCTCTGAAATTGTACCACAAGGTTCAATACCACAAGTCGAAGGTTGGGATTCATTTTGGGGGTAATTGCCCAAACCGTTCAGGAATTAGGGGCCAATAAAGGTATAAATCAAGCATTTTTATACGCCCGTTTACAGGACGTATTATGGTATACCATTGTCCGTCTGTCCATCGTCAACATGTTGGACATTAACTCAAAAATGCTTTAACCAGTTTGCATGAAACTTTGGTGAATTGTTTATATCTATTGACGTGAGCTCCTTTTCATTTTTTATAAAATTTAGATTTTACGTTTCCGAGTTATGGGGTTTTATTCATTAAAAAAAAGGGGGAGTTTCCAGTTTTCGGACAATAAGTCAAGAATGCTTTCACCAACTTGCAAGAATTTGTGGTGAATTGTTTATATCTATTGACATGAGTTCCCTTTTGATTTTTATAAATTTTAGACTTTACGTTTCCGAGTTTCAGGGTTTATTCATAAAAAAGGGGGGATTTTCCAGTTTTCGGATAAAAACTCAAAAATGCTTTCAGCAATTCTTATAAAACTTTGGTGAATTGTTTGTATGTATTGATGTAAGCTCCCTGTAGAATTTTATAAATTTTACATTTTACATTTCTGAGTTATGGGGTTTTATCCATTAAAAAAAGGGGTGATTTTCCAGTTTTCGGACTCAAAAATGCTGTCACCAATTCTCATGAAACTTTAGTGAATTGTTTATATCTATTGATGTAAGATTCCTTTTTATTTTCATAAATTTCTAATATGACATTGAGAATTAATTGAACTTTATTTGTTTATAGTCTGACAACAGATTTACTAGGTATTGCACAACAGCAAGAAATCTTTAATTGAATATAAATTCAATTCATATAATCAATTTCAAGTTCTTTGACTACATTTATTCAGAAACCTATAATATGTCAAATATTTAATTACAATCCAAATTCAGACCTGAATCAAGCTTGAATATTGTGTCCATTTTTGCCCCAACTGTTTAGGGTAGGACCTCTGCGGGCGTATCTAGCTGCGCTCAGCGAAGCAGTTTATTCTAGTTTTCAGACAATAACTCATGTTTAAGTGTATTGACGTCTCTTAAACTGCACCACATTTTACAAAAAGAAAATTTTCTTCAAATGTTATTTTTGTTGGAAAAGTGGGGAGGTTAAAATTTGGGGGGTGGGGGGTAAACATTTTTTTTTGGGGGGGGGACAATTTTTTATCCTCAAGATTTAAGAAATTAAAAAAAAAAATTCTTCAATTTTGGGAAAAAGGAGGGTCAATTTTTTCTGCAAGATTTAAGAAATTGTCAATTTTCCAAAGAAAATTTGGGGATCACAATTGCTAATTCTTTGTATATAGTCTGAAAACAGATTTACTAAGTAATGCGCACAGTGCACAGTGCATTGCACAAAAGCAAGAAATCTTCAATTGAATATAAAATCAAATCATATAACCAATTTTAAGTTCTTTGACCACATTTATTCTGTGTCAGAAACCTATAATGTGTCAAATATTTAATTACAATCCAAATTCAGACGTGTATCAAGCTTGAATATTGTGTCCATTTTTGCCCCAACTGTTCAGGGATGGACCTGGATGGACCTCTGCGGTCGTATCTAGCTGGGCTAGGCGAGCAGTTTATTACTAAATATTCTAAAAACTATAATAGATATATAAAAACTTCAAATAGAAAAAAAGAGAGAAGACAAGATCAACAAATTTGTCTCATCGTGAAATTGTCGGTCAACTCCTTATTGGAGTTATTGCTCTTTATGACGATTTTTTCACTAATTATTTATGTAGTGCCTATTCTTGAAGATGCACTTAGTTTGTATATAGTCTGAAAACAGATTTACTAAGTAATGCGCACACTGCACAGTGCATTGCACAAAAGCAAGAAATCTTCAATTGAATATAAAATCAAATCATATAACCAATTTTAAGTTCTTTGACTACATTTATTCTGTGTCAGAAACCTATAATGTGTCAATTATTTAATTACAATCCAAATTCAGACGTGTATCAAGCTTGAATATTGTGTCCATTTTTGCCCCAACTGTTCAGGGATGGACCTCTGCGGTCGTATCTAGCTGGGCTCGGCGAATTTGTCTCATCGTGAAATTGTCGGTCAACTCCTTATTGGAGTTATTGCTCTTTATGACAATTTTTTCACCAATTGTTTATGTATTGCCTATTCTTGAAGATGCACTTAGACCAAGGTGAGGGACACAGTCTCTTTAGAGCCTCTAGTTCTCAGAAGCTACAAATCAGAGATACCTTATATTTGGATATCAAGTTTATATGAGAAACCATACAAACAGCTGTTTATCATATTGCATTCAGATGTTGTGATGAAGTATGTAGTATGTAGTATTCAGAACCATTCAAATAGCTGTTTCTGATCAGATAGCAATCAGATGTTTGGGGTAAAGTATGTAGTATTCAGAACCATACAAACAGATCCTAATCAGATTGCATTCAGACGTTTGTGGTGAAGTATGTAGTATTAAGAACCATACAAACAGCTTTTTCTGATCAGATTGCTTCAGATGTTTGGGGTGAAGCATGTAGTATTCAGAACCATACAAACAGATGATTCTAATCAGATTGCATTCAGATGTTTGGGCTGAAGTTTGTTGTATTCAGAACCATACAAACAGCTGATTTTTAATCAAATTGCAATCAGATGTTTTGGGTGAAGTATGAAGTATTCAGAACCATACAAACAGCTGATTTTAATCAAATTGCAATCAGATGTTTTGGGTGAAGTATGAAGTATTCAGAACCATACAAACAGCTGATTTTAATCAAATTGCAATCAGATGTTTTGGGTGAAGTATGAAGTATTCAGAACCATACAAACAGATGATTATAATCAGATTGCATTCAGATGTTTGTGGTTAAGTTTAAAGTATTCAGAGCCATACAAACAGATGATTATAATCAGATTGCATTCAGATGTTTGTGGTTAAGTTTAGAGTATTCAGAGCTATTCATACAGATGATTATAATCAGATTGCATTCAGATGTTTGTGGTTAAGTATAAAGTATTCAGAGCTGTTCATACAGATGATTATAATCAGATTGCATTCAGATGTTTGTGGTTAAGTTTAAAGTATTCAGAGCTGTTCATACAGACGATTATAATCAGATTGCATTCAGATGTTTGTGGTTAAGTTTAGAGTATTCAGAGCTATTCATACAGACGATTATAATCAGATTGCATTCAGATGTTTGTGGTTAAGTTTAAAGTATTCAGAGCTGTTCATACAGATGATTATAATCAGATTGCATTCAGATGTTTGTGGTTAAGTTTAAAGTATTCAGAGCTGTTCATACAGATGATTATAATCAGATTGCATTCAGATGTTTGTGGTTAAGTTTAGAGTATTCAGAGCTGTTCATACAGATGATTATAATCAGATTGCATTCAGATGTTTGTGGTTAAGTTTAAAGTATTCAGAGCTGTTCATACAGATGATTATAATCAGATTGCATTCAGATGTTTGTGGTTAAGTTTAAAGTATTCAGAGCTGTTCATACAGATGATTATAATTAGATTGCATTCAGATGCTTG